TATCATAGTTAATATATACATGAGCAAAACAAACCGAGGATTATTGTAAATTGAAACATTATTTAATTACTTGCGACTAAAGTAAACAGATTTAATGGTAAGCAATGAATAATCTTTCGATTCACATACATTTATATAAATCCCAAATTGTGGGTTTGTTTTATTGACCTAGATCCTTGACTTACTTTTGCACAATTGGCTCAAACAAATCACGAATAATATCCGAAATTCTATAATACTTTTTCATGTTAGCCATCAAATTATTGAATGCTTTGCAATAAAATATATTGACACCAATAATACTGCCATTCCTGATATTATAGGGAATCATTGTATTGATGGCAATGTGTTTCCAAACACCGTTTCCCGTGTCCACCGATTCCTGTAAATACTGAATGCATTCAAACAGTTCTCGCAGTAATTCATACGATATGTAGTAATCAATGCAAATCATGTCATAGGAGTAGTGATTGGCGAAGATTTTGTTTTTAATTTTTATTATATCCCATAGTGTTAGCGAACATAATTCGTGCTGGATGATTATGTTATTATTTTCAATCCACGAGTTGTAATATTCAACCATATATTCCGACTTTATTTCAATTGACTTTCTTATTTCAATAAACAGTTTATGCATTTCCAACACATTATCTGTAATATGGGATATTAATATATTTATTATACTAAATTTACAAACAATAAATCTATAATCATAATCTCAACATACATAAAATTATTGATTTCCTTACAAATTGAAAATATGTATATATTTATTTTAATATTACAGTATATAAAGTTTAAATTTTAAACGTTACAAATATTATATTTTATTTGTAGCAATATAGACTTTTATTTTCTATATAATTATATAAATTTATTCATACCTGGTATTTGTATTTTAAATAATGAATTCATTTGTTGAACAGTTTCAGGTGTCCTTATATTAATTGAATTGTATGATTGAGTATATAATTGTGCCATGTCCATTACATCAAATATAGACTTATTTATTGCCATATTTGCTGGGTTAAAAATTATTAAAACTGTATAATCAATTTTGTACATTTATAATAACTTATAAGCGAGGTTTATGATAAAAGTAAATTTTAATACGAATTTAAGGTTATGTGTAAATAATATTAAATGCAATCACATAACTAACCTTTATTATTGAATTGGTGAGACATTTGTATCATACAATTTGGTTTGCTTTTCACAATTAATTTGTAAATTATATCACATTTCCTGTCGATAATAGTCTCTAATAATAATTTGAATTCTTTGTCCCCAATAATGGGTTTATTTGTCATAAATATCTGCAATTGTGATAAAATGTGCGAACATTCGGGTCTTTGCCTCCAATCTGTTGAACCATTTTTGCGATACTTATTAACACTCATTGATACTAATAATGCATTCATTTTATGCATCCATTCATTCATATCTTTGTTATATTTTCGAGCTAAAAATATATGCGACAATGAATATTACGCTATAAAATGTGCGAACATTCGGGTCTTTGCCTCCAATCTGTTGAACCGTTTTTTGAGTACTCATTGACAGCCATTGACACCAATAAGGCATTCATTTTACTCATCAAATCATTTATATGTTTGTTGTATTTTATAACTAATTTTGTCCTAAAATTTGAAAATAATGTTATAATGTATTAAAATTCAATTTTGGTTTGAAAGCAAAAACATACTTTCCATTCATTATATCCATTGTATCGAAAGGAAAAATTTGTGAACCAATTAGGGATAGACTGTAGATATCTATCAAATGATTGTAATCATTAGTCTGGGCTTCCGGTGCCTGATATGACAGATCTCCCACATCTGCCGTATGTTTAACACCAGACATACGAAACGGATCGCAATTCACGACCTCTTTAGCCAAACCAAAGTCACATAACTTTATGCGTCCGTCCATTGAAATCAACACATTATCTGGTTTGAGGTCTCTATGAATGATATGATTTTCGTGCAAATATTGCACACATTCTGTGAGTTTACGAAACATATGATATGAGATATAAAACTCAGTGTTTAGCATAAATTTATTAAACAAGGATTTTTTAATATTCAAAATATTTGTCAGATTCTCGAAACACAACTCCATTTGAAAGTAAAGACAATTGCATTCAATCCATGAATAGTAGTATTGAGTCACATATTCTGACCGCAGTTTCATAAGTCTTTGCGTTTCATTCAAAACGTTTTGTTTCTCTTTTTCTGTTAAATCTTTTTTTGAAAAATTTATTTATTTATTAGAATTTATTACTGAAAACATGTTATAAAATATTAAATGATTACCTTTTAACAGGCACATCTTTATAGCGTAATATTCATTGTCGCATATATTTTTAGCTCGATATACTTGTCCAAAACTACCCTCACCAAGCTTATTTATTATTTCATATGACTTTTCAAGTAATAATTTACATGAATTTCCAGTTTCTGCAAAATAATAACTATTTAAAAAAATAATCTATTTTATACTAAAAAGGTTTCAAACATTATATTTCATAAATACCATGATTTTCATTCAACACGTGTTCACTATTTTGTTGACTATTTAATGTAATAGTATTTAAAGTGATTTGCAATTCGCGTGAATAGTATTCATCAAATGACTTATAATTGGTTTCAATGAGTTGTTTGCATTTAATCTCATATATCCTATGTCCAGATCTACCCGTTATTACACTCATATGTTTCTCATAGGAATATATTTGTCGCAATTCATTGAACTCAAAATAACTGATATTTTTCATGCATTTCTCGTGAAAATCGTATAAATATATGAACCCATCGTTTCCTTTCAGATAGATATTGCTATAATCGCTGCAAATATTCTGTATATTAATTCCATTATCCAATAACCGTGGTCTATTTATGACTAAATAACCATTGTGTCCCCAAATAAACACCTGTCCGTCCGATGTAATAGCAAATGATGTCCAATAATTACATATAACTTTTGCAACTTTATAATTAGTTGGCAATTTAATTTCCCATGGTATTTGAATAGAGTCAGAACTGCATTTGCCATAACCTAACTGTCCCCACCCGTTCCAACCCCATCCAAATACCCGGTTATTGGTTGTTAAGATGATTGTGTGCTGATAACCACAACTTATTTGTGTTATAATTAAGTCATTTGATGTGAAATATGTAATATAATGAGCTTTATGATATCCATTCACATACACATGTCGTCCCAATTGTCCCCATTTATTGCCACCAAAACTGAGTATTTGTTTATCCGTATTGACAGCCAATACAAAGTCATATCCATTGATAAAGTGTTGTATATTTTGATGCCTTAATTCTGGCACTTGTTGTGGTGTTTCAATGGGTGTGTTGTGTCCTAACCCCAATTGACCCGAGCTATTGCTACCCAATCCATACACCATATCATCAAATGTCACAAACAGTATGTTATGTCCAATAGAGTCATCGAAAATATAAAATAATTTAATTTTTTGTTTTAGTTTTTCTATAATTTTATCACAAATATTAAATTTATTTAAATCCGAGCACATTATTAATAAATATTAAACATTTTTATGTGTATTTTATTAAGTTCTATATACCATATTAAACAAATAATATTATATTCTTTTATTTATTTTAGAGATTCACAAAAATATACGTGTTTTACTTTTATTTATAGCAGGATTAGTTAAATATTTTATTTTAATTTGTATACAGTATACTATACTTTATACTAATACAATTACCTATTTTATTATATTTATATTACTAATTAATATTTTATAAAATACTGTCTAGACAAATAAAAGATTATTGCTATGTTATATGTTATAGTTTGTGTGCATTTTTATATACTGTATAAATAACAATAGAAATAGAAATTCCGTAATATAATTTGTGTTACTACAAATAGCATACAGATAATATTACATTGCAATACAGTGATAATAATACGATAATTGCTAAGAATTTAATGTTAATTTCATACATATTTTAAATTCTGTATATATGAGTTCACTTGAATTGATATTGTTTATATTTATAAACGATGTCATAATTAAATATAACAAATTTACTTTAATGATACTGTGCAACAAATTACTAAATAAATAAATTAGCTTTAACAAAGGTATGTGAAATATTCTATACAATAGGTCATAATATAATGAAAATAATTTTACATTTTATCAAACATTTATGACATGAGTGCTGATGGGATAGATGCCGGTGTGATGGGCGCGGGTTGCGGGCCATGGGTTACCGATCTACTCGTGTGTTTGATTGATGGCACGTAGTCTTTATAGTAGATGTGCCACCACTTCGAGCACTGCTTCCCATAAATACAATTCCCGGTGTGTGGGCTCACCTCACGTCCGATGCCAACTACCGTCACAAACCCTATGATTGAGATAATTACTGCTAAAATCCACTTCACATTCATTTAAATATTAAGATTTTATAAAACGTTTTATAATTTATTTATTATTTAATAATATAAAAGTTTTTACAAAAGTCTGTTAAAGTCTTTATAACTCTCTATAGTTAGCATATTGTGAATTATTCGCAATAAATTGTGTTTTGAATGACTTTTGTTAAGTTTTTTGGATAAAAGTAATTGTGCAAACATGTTTACGCTATAAAAATCAATATCTATATTGAACATAGTCTCAATCAACAATATTATCTCAAATGTCGTGATTAAATGGTATAAATAAATTTGAACAAAAGTTATACTTTGTAAGTTCTATACTTTCCATTAGGTATTACAGTATTCTTAATTAAGATATTGATGACTATTATTTCTTTGTTTAAATATGAGATTTATTTAATTAAGGTTCATTTTAGGTTACAATATGTGATTAACAGCAATTTTATACATTTTATTGTGTAATAATTATATCATTTGTGCAATTATTCAAAATTCTATGCAAACATTTCATAATCAATAATAATAAATATACAGTATTGTAAAATTATTTTGGATGTTTGACATGGATAGTTTAGGTCTAAATTTAGTATGATATGTAAACATAGCACACACTAAAATTAAAAATTTTATATCAAATAACAATACCGACAGACAACTAATTACAGCGTTTAACACAATCGAGACATTCATCTCAAGACACTATACACGGCTACACATTATTTTAAACTCGTTTCTCAATTCCGACAATTAGTCTTTGAGGGGCCATTAAACCGAAAGATCTCTTATACCGCAGAGGAATGTCTGTCCGAGTCGTCGGGAAAAATTTAAATCTCCTGATAATGTTAGCCAAACCTAACTTGGCTTCGAGTAATGCAAACCTCATACCAATGCAATTGCGAGGGCCGGCGCCGAAGGGTAAGTAAGTATAAGGTGTAATGTTATGTCTATTCTCAGGCATAAACCTATCAGGGTTAAACTGGAATGGATGAGGGTAGTTCTCTTCAGATGTATGGATGGCGTAAATGGGAAAATCAACTTGCTGTCCTGGGTGCAATGTGATCCCAGTGTCGCCTAATTTGTAGTCAGTAGTGGAAAGGCGTGACAAACGTTGAGCCGGGGAGTGGAGTCTTAATGTTTCTGAGATGACTGCATCCAAATACGGAAGTCTTGACAACAAGTCATAATCAATCTCTCCGTTGGAATCGATGGCAGAGTTTACTTCTTTGTGTAGTATTTCCTGGACGTGAGGATTGAGTGCCAATTCATACGTACAAAATGAGAGTAAAGTCCCGGTTGTCTCATACCCGGCCAATAGGAAAACCATAGCCTGTGCGAGGATCTCATTCTCAGTCAAGTGCTTATTCACAACATTTATATTCAGGGCCTTCCTCTCGACCGCCAACTCTTCCTCACCTTTTAAATCAATTATGAATTCAATTATATTTTACTATTGATTAACACTCAGAGAGTGATCACTGGTTAGTATTGATACCTTCATTGACATGATGTGATTCATTGACATCATTCTCATCCCTTGTGATGTCATTCTCCTTCTCGACATCAATCAGCAGTTGAAGGAAATCGTTGTATTTCTTGTTCTGATTTTGACGCCTATTTTCAAGGATCTGACGAATGGATCCCAAGAAGAAGTGTCGCGCTGAAGTGGAACTGTTGGTCAGTCCTAACCGTTTCTGCACAAACCCTGGTAACATCATTTGGGCTATTCTTCTAACAGGACTTGTGTTGAATGTAATTCTCGCGTTCACTACAAACGGATTATCGAGTGCTTTATGGACATCAGTTTTGGTGGCGAAGGCACACGTGGCGATCACATCCATAGTGTAGTTCCCGTACAAGTCCTTTACGTTCACCTCTTCTTTCTTAGCGGCAAAGCCCTCCAAATNCATCCATAGTGTAGTTCCCGTACAAGTCCTTTACGTTCACCTCTTCTTTCTTAGCGGCAAAGCCCTCCAAATGGTTCATAAAGTCTGTCAAACACTCCTTAATTCTTGGATACATTTTCTTCATCTTTCCGGACGTGAATGTCGGGCTAACTATGGATCGGACTCTCTTCCAGTCATCGCCAGTCAATTGAACCATATTTCTACTCATAATCTCATCAGTACTTCGAGCGAATCTGGATCGATCCGGGAATAGATGGAAGTCCTTCACCAGAACTTGTTTAATCAACTCGGGGTCACTTATGTTCAAAATTGGTGTTTTACCAAGGTAATGACTGTTCAGTATAACATTTATTTCATGTTTAGTAATATTTCTATAAAAATCAACTTGTATTAATATCAATTATATATATATACCCATAAATTTTGCCATATTTTTTAAACCATTTGAGTTCTTGCAAGGGTTGAGGTATTATGAAAAAGTCCAAAAGATTACCAAAAATTGGAAATGGTCTAGGACCTTTGATTCCCCTTTTAGACCAATAGGAAAAACCTCTGGATAAATACCTGTTTAAAAAATATTACATTAATTTTTATTAAATTTTGATAATTATCTCATCTATTTACCAATAAACAGCAGGTCCTATTGATAATAAGACTATGATTATTGATGAGAGAATTAAATCCATGTCACAGTTATATAATAATAAATTATCAACTTAAATTTAATGTTTCTCTATTAAAAACAATAGTTAAATTACAAACTTAAAAAACTAAAACTAAATTTATATTTATCACCAACTTATATTTATATGGAGCTTACAAGTTTGAGTATATTGAGTACTCTAATAGGAATTATAATTAGTATCTTATTTCTTAATTATCTTTAAAATTTATTTATAATATTAGATAAATATAGTCTGAATGTTGAACTTATTTGATAGAATTACTATTGGTTTACAAATACAAACTACTAATCTATTAATTTATATTTTTTATCAAACTTGTATCTTGAGTTAAGTGCATTCGTTATGAGTTTACTGTATAATTATCGTTAATTAATTTTATAGGTATTTATATATTAAAAATATACAACCTTTTACAATAATTATGATAAATGTTATTTTAGAAAATAAACAGGTTTACATGTTTAATCATTTAAATAATCACAAATTTAATGTAATGTAATTGTACAAGAGTACTGCAATTGACTTATTATTAAATTAAAATTATCAAATAATAATTTATCTCATAACATAAACAGTTTGATTGAAATTTGTACTAAACTGTACCATTTTTACAGAATTATATGGAAACCTTGTAAGCATTTA